TGCACTCCAGTCTGGGCAACAGAGTGAGACTCCAACTCAAAAAAAAAAAAAAAGAAAGGCACCAAGTCAAATGTTGAGGATATAGCAGGGTACGAGATAGCTACAGAGGACAGAGAATTTCAGTAAATACCAGAAATAGAGTGATATGACTATGGGAGTAAAAAGTATATATCTGATCTAATCTAGAAAGGTTACGGATGGCTTAAGGTCAGACCTGAATTGTAAATAAGAGTTGGGATCTGAAATAGGGTGGGAGGAGGACAAAAGAAGTCAGCATTGTGTATAGATAGATTAAAGGAATTATGCAATTGATAATTATGGAGGCTGTACCTATAGACCACTTGTTAAGAAGTATAACAGCCTGGGTAAGTAAATAGGATAATATTCAAAGGGGATAGTATGATTTCTTATTAATTCAAAATATTTATTGAGCACCTATTATGTGGCCAGGCATTATTCTAGGCACTTGGGATGTGTCAGTGAAAAAAACAAAAATAGTTCTTGGGATTGGCAGTAGTGGGAAACTGCTAGGGGAGTGCAGGGACAGGATTGGTAGTAGTGGGAAATTGCCAGGGGTGGGGGGGGGCACACCCCATCAACAAGGGTTCCTGCACAATGAACATGTGTATCCTTAACCCTGAATTGCACCCCACATATTTAAAATAAAAAAAAAATAGTCGGGCTCGGTGGCTCAGCCTGTAATCCCACACTTTGGGAGGTGCGTGGATTGCCTGAGCCCGCGGGTTTGAGACCTGCCTGGGCAACTTGGCGAGACCTCGTCTCTACAATAAATAAAAAATTAGCCGGGTGTGGTAGCGCACGCCTGTAGTTCCGGCTACTAGGAAGGCTGAGGCGGAAGGATCGCCAGAGCCCAGCAGGTCGAGGCTGCGGTGGCTGGGAGTGGCCACTGCACTCCAGTCTGAATGACAGAATGAGACTCCAACTCAAAAAAAAAAAAAATAATAATAATAATAATAATAAAATTTACCAAAAAAACACAAATATTGGTGTCAAGTAGCAAAAAGAAAAAGTTCTTGTTCTGATGAAGCTTATGTTTTAATATAGGGTGGGAGACAATAGACAGCAAGCATAGATGATATGGTGCCTTAGAACACAGTAAGAGTTGTGGATAACGAGGACTAGGAGTCCAAGTGAGTGAGGACGATCTTAAATAGAGTAGTCAGTCAAAGATTGTCTCAGTGACAGTTCGTGATTGGGCAAAGGCTTAAAAAAAGATGAGGAAGCAAGCCTTGCAAATGTTAGGAACACATTTCAGGCAGACAGAAGAGCCAGCATTAAAGCTGGTCAGGATTGTGCCTGGTATATTCTAAAACAGCAAGGAGACAGGTGTAGCAGAACCAGTAGGTAAAGGGTAAGTAGTATGAAGTAAGGCCAGAGAGACAATGAGGGGTGGAGGCAGATCTTACAGGCCGCTGTGAAGATTCAGTGGAACAGTGTTCGTTTCTTCCTGTGCTAATATGCCAGAGGTCAAGAAGAGTAAGAGGTAAGAGGAGGGGAAAGACCTGATAGCCCAGCCAGAGCAGGGATAACATTAATAGCAGAGTCCTTCAGAAGGCAACAAGAGACTGGCAGAATGGGCAATCATCGTAAGGAGAAAAAAAGGCCTCGAATTTAAGAAATGTTCCAGAGCCTGCCAGGAGCACTAATTATGCTCATCTCTTAGTAACTCTTCATCCAGTGACCATCTGAATAGCTTGGCATTGGCCATGGTGGAAATATTTATACCACAGAAAAGAGAAAACAAAAATTCAGGCAATTTTTTTCTTAGTGAGTTGGCTTAGCTGCATGTGAATGATGCTTCCTCAGAGTGGTAGATAACTAGGAGACGAATATGGCTGTACCCTCAGACTAAGAGTAGATAAAGAAAGATGAAGGTCCTAATGGGTCTCTTTTCCATAAATCAACAAGGAGTTAGATCAATTATTTGGAGGAAAAAATGGCATGGGTCTGAAATAACTTGCAGGTGGAAACTGAACCTGGCCTTGCGAGAAAATAATGTAACTGCTATGCAAATGCCAGGAGAGTCAAATTCAAACAGACCACAAGGGCCCAATCTACATACATTTCTCTTCTTTCTCTAACTTTGATTTTTTGGAACTATGGGAAAATTAACTGAGCAAAGGATTTTGAAAATTTGTATTCTGGTCTTTGAAGAAAAGAGTTACAAGAGAGAGTTTAAAGTCACGTGAGAAGGCACACTCTGGGACCAGAACAGAGAAATACAGTGAAGCCAGGAGGAATCTTACAGTTTAAGCAAAATATTAAATGATGTGGCATAAAAATATTAAACTCTACTACAAATGCCTAATGCTTTTTAATAATTTAATTTTTGATAATCTTCAAAAGGATAGTTTCCTGGGTTAAAATAATTTTTTTTTCCTTCTTGGATGAAATAACTTTAGAGAGTATTTCTCTATGCTCTCTACAGGTGTGAGTTCTTTGCCTGGATGCCTTCTGGGGGAAACTCTTCTGGCTCCACGGTCACTTGCTCAGCACCAGGTACTTTCTTGTTCCTTTTGGCTAAGTGGAGACTTTGAAAGTAAAACAAGATTAAATTCTTTCAAATTTGTAACCTAGGACACAATTACGTCACAGGATGACTTTACATAAAATAAAAGATCAAGTGCTTACAAGGTTAAATTTCAGGACAGCCCTCTTGGATGCAAGATAAAGGCGGGGTGAAAAATAAAAACAAAAGTAGCCCTGTTAGGTCATTTGATCCTATACTCCGCTCAAGACTGCTCCTCTCTGACGACTGAAACAGGTTGGTCCTCTCTTTCTTTTCTCATTCTGACTTAAATGTCCTTTTTTTTTTAAGGCCTTTGTTAACTTACCAATATAGAATCTTGATGCAGAAAGTTTAAATATTTACATGTGCAAAAAATAGCTATTTGAAAACAGCTGTGCACTTTAACATTAAAATGAAAATCTTAAGAAGAAAATATGATTTCCAATATCATTACCTGTCTGTAAAACTTTGTTAATGAGAAAACAACTTTTGTTATATTATTTTTTTGGCTTTTCTTTATGAATACTAATTTTTTGTTATAATAATAACTATAAAGACACTTAAATGTGGTTTCTATGTATCTGCCAGGAGAATCATTTCTGCAATTAATTTCCATTCCTATATTCTTACTCATATTTTCAGTAAAATTTTTACTTTAAAATTTCCTTCCTTAATTTCTTATATTATTCCTTATTATCAGCTTTAAGATTTTTGTGATCTAAGAGAAGGAAAGAATATAATTCATATTATGTTAACAATTAATGTATAAGAAAAAGAAGACCAGAGTAGTCTTCCAGATTAGAACTTAAATAATCTTAATGATAAAAAGTTATTTTAAATAGTGGTTCCTGTTTTTTACATAATGAAAGCAGTTCTTCTATGTGATATCTTTCCTCAGTGCCTTTCTTACTTTGTTTTCTTATTCAGAGTTAGCAATTATGAGAATGTTCTTTTGAAAATGTGCCATAAATTAGCACACTGTTTTTACAATATGTTTATCTCTTGAAAACATTGAAAGTCATTATTATACACATTTTAAAAACGGTGAATTCTGTGCAAGCTTATCTTAATACTAATGGGGTGCTAATAGCCAATAGGATACAATAACAATGTTGAGCCAGAAGATTCCTGGCATACCATCTATCCATTCTGGAGTAACAGCTTTATACCCACTGGCAAAGCCTTTAGTTTGACAAATATTTGCTGAGCAGTTAGTGTGTGCCAGGCACATTGATAAAATTTTAATTACAGACACAATCAAACAGGTCAGACTTTGCAGAACTTAATGCCCAGAGGGACAAATAGTCTGGGAAACATCTCTTCCAGAGGAGGGAGTCAGTTCTCTGGGAATTGCTGCTGCATCAGGAGAGCCTTCTGGGGAGGCAACATCCAAGTTAACTGAGTAGGAACTGACCCTTCCAGGGAAGGACAGAAAATAGTATGACAAATAAAGGGAGAGAATGAGCAGTGGTGTAGATGGTGCTGTGGCCTGGTGTGTGCCAGCCAACTGCTGGGAAATCAATCCTATTGCTGGCTACAATAGAGGGAACAGAGTAGGTGGCAGGAGCCATTAGCATTCTGCTAAGGAGCTTGGATTGTGCCTCTCAGGTGACGTGATGTGTCTTCCAGGCGAGGAGCTAAGCAGGAAAGGACAGAGTGGCAATTTAAAGATCAAACACGCTGGTGGAAATAAAAACGCTTTTGGTAAGGACATGGTTAGGAGCAATAACAACAGTAGGAAACCTATCAGGAAGACACTATAGTCGCCCAGGTGAGAAGCATGGTTGTCCAGGTGTGCAAATGTGAGGAAGAGTGCGGAGTGCAGGAGACCTTTTGGAAGACAGAATCAGAGCTCAGCGACTGACTGAAAATCAGGAATGAAGGAAAAAGAGTAGTCAAGGATGGGGCAGGCTTACAGCTTCGGTGACTAGGGGAAGCTGGCACTACCAAGCAACAGGGTACAACAAGCAAGCAGTGCTTGCTTTCGGAGGGAAGTTGAGTAAAGGAAACCTTGTTCACTGGAAGCCAACTAATGAAATCAGTGCAAATACTAAAATAGTTTATTTAACTGATTTAAATTAAATGCATAAATAACAAAATCAAAAGTAAAATAAATTTATTTTAAATAAAAATGTTAATTTATTCTCATTTTTATTTCATTTATTGCAGATAAACTCCATAAGACTCACAAAGTTATGCGTGTAAAGATTATACCATGATTTTTTCTTCTTAGGTAAAATCTGACTGAATTTTTATATTTTAAAAATAATTTTTACATAAAAGTCTTTGCTTTTATTTAGGGCTTAATATCTAAGAACCCTCTCCAGGGTATTATGTTTCTTGTCCCTGTAAATCCCGGCTCCTGCACACAGAATTGTAAAAACGAAGGATGAATATAATGTGGCTGGCACTAAAATGTGCCAAAGAGTGGCAGATTCAGGCTGGCATGCTCCAGTAACAATCTATTCTCTAGGGAATGAACAGGTGCTGGGTAAGAACTGTTTTCTTTGAAGCAATATTAAAACAAGTATTCTGTATTCTTTTTGCCATCTAGATTGGAGCCATGGCTTTGGAACAGAACCAGTTAACAGATTACTATTATGAGGAAAATGAAATGAATGGCACTCATGACTATAGTCAGTACGAAATGATCTGCATCAAAGAAGAGGTCAGAAAATTTGCAAAAGTTTTCCTTCCGGTCTACCTCACAACAGCTTTCATCATTGGACTTGCAGGCAATTCCATAGTAGTGGCAATTTATGCCTATTACAAGAAACAGAGAACCAAAACAGATGTGTATATCCTGAATCTGGCTGTGGCAGATTTACTCCTTCTATTCACTCTGCCTTTCTGGGCTGTTAATGCAGCTCATGGGTGGGTTTTAGGGAAAATTATGTGCAAAGTAACTTCAGCCTTGTACACTGTAAACTTTGTCTCTGGAATGCAGTTTCTGGCTTGTATCAGCATAGACAGATATCTGGCAGTAACTAAAGGACCCAGTCAATCAGGAGTGGAAAAACCATGCTGGATCATCTGTTTCTGTGTCTGGACAGCTGCTATCTTGCTGAGTATACCCCATCTGATTTTTTATACAGTGAATGACAATGCTAGGTGCATTCCCATTTTCCCCCACCACCTGGGAACATCAATGAAAGCGTCGATTCAAATACTAGAAATCTGCCTAGGATTTGTGGTACCCTTTCTTGTTATGGGTGTGTGCTACCTTCTCACAGCAAGGACACTCATCAAGATGCCAAACATTAAAAAATCTCGACCCCTCAAAGTTCTGCTCACAGTGGTTATAGTTTTCATTGTCACTCAGTTGCCTTATAACATTGTCAAGTTCTGCCAAGCCATAGATATCATCTACTCCTTGATCACTGACTGTGACATGAGCAAACGCATGGATGTTGCCATCCAAATCACAGAAAGCATTGCACTCTTTCACAGCTGCCTCAACCCAATCCTGTATGTTTTTATGGGAGCCTCTTTTAAAAACTATATTATGAAAGTAGCCAAAAAATACGAGTCCTGGAGAAGACAAAGACAAAGTGTGGAAGAAATTCCTTTTGATTCTGAGGGTCCTACAGGACCAACCAGTACTTTTAGTATTTAAATGTAAAACTTCTCTGCGTTTTGCTTGGCTACACACGAATGATGATGCTTCCTCCTCAGATAAAACATCTGTATTATTCTGAAACTCAAATGTCAAATGCTGTGTTTGCAACTGACAACAAAGAAGGGGACGGGGTGAGGGGGGAAGATACGAGCCAAGAAGAGGAAACCAGATAGTAAATGTACAAACACAAAAGTTAAAATTAATAGTACAGAAAAATAGTGACAGTATAAATAAATAAAACTACTATGCTATAAAGAAGATAATCTTTGTGGTGCTGGAATAGTTTTGTATCTTGATTGCAGTACTGGTTATACAAATCTACACGTGACAAAATGACAGAGAACTATACACATTGTACCAATTTTAATTTTCTGGTTTTTATATTATATTATAGTTTTTTATATATATATATACATACACACACACATAGTATAATACAACATTGGGGAAATGAAGTGAAGGGTTCTCAGAACCACTCTGCACCATCTTTGTAATTTCCTGTGAATTTATATTAATTTCAAAATAAAAGAAGTTTTTTAAAAAAAACCCACTAGGCAAAAAAAATAAAAAAATAAAAAAAAGCAGCAGCAGCAGCTCCGATCACTAGTTAACGAGTTGCGTTAGCACAAGGGAGGGATTGGCAGTCACTAGGCACAGCCTATTTATGTAGTAACCCCTCATTTGAGCACCAAATCTCTATAATAAATACGTAAGTAATTTTTAAAAATTTGCAATGGAAAAAACTTACTATGCTACAAGTTAAGCTAAAAACGATTAATAAAAAGGCTCATGTTAAAAGGCAACTATAATGGCTTTTATTTATCAAAATGTTGATATGAGAACAATTTCCCTGCATGATTTAGCACTTCACCTCACACCAAACTTAATCTGCCTTTTTTTCTTTTTTGCTAGTTTGTAAGTAATTTTATAAAATTCCAGGAAGAATAACTAACAGGTGAAAAAGCATATAGTAAGTAAGCTTTTCTGATCCTTTCAATGCCTGGCAAGTTCTTAAACACTTAATTTGCTTCCATGATGTCAAATAAATGTTAGGTTTTTCACGCATATTCTAGATACAATCCTCAATCATTACATTTATCTAAGTTTCAATGTTTATAACTTCCTAAAGAACTCATCTATTTATGTGAGTCTATTTCTCAGGGCTGACTAAAAACCACATTATCCTATACACGTGTCTTATTTTTCATTTAAACACTCATATTTTAAAGTAATGAAAATGTGTATCACAAACTATTTTTCATAACATATAATAGCCCATGTAATGTACCCCTATTATAATTCATCTTTGGTCGACATTTCACTGGCCAAAAATAGTATTCACTAATGAACTGTAACTCTTAAACTGCAAAAAAATAAAGACATGTTTCTGTTCTTAAAAATCACTTAATCAAGACATCTTATTTTAAAATTGCTTTCCCTTTTAACTACTATTTCTAAATTGGAAAATGCTTTCAAGGCAGAATTTAAAGAATTATGATCATGAAACTAGTAACTACATACCATAGCATTATTCTGGAATGTACATGGCACAAATGAGCAATCTGTTCAGTAAAAAAATTATGCTGAACACTCACCACTACTCCACCATTTCTTGCCATTAATTACATAGCTATCGCCATCTTGTTGGATGCTGCATTCAATATTGGTGGCATCACTGGAAGCTACATCAGGTTCTATAAACAAACAAGGACTGAATGTACAGGCAGGCAGATTGCAAAGATGCTTAGATAAGGGAATGGAAACTCTTTTCTTTTTCATCTTCCAGTACTTCCCCGTTCACCCTGGTTCTCCTATAACTTACACATGGTAGGCATTCAAGAACTGTGCATTGGAAGAATAAATAAATGAAGCATACTGAACACCAGGATCAGGATCCTGAATTGCATTTTTGGCTTATTCACTGATATATGACTTGGTATACAACTAGTCACACAGTTCTTTCCTCAATCATCCAAAGTAGATAAACATATTGTTTTCTACTTCTCACAATGGACATCTGTACTAAATACTGGCAAGCCAGATTTTCCCACCATATAGTTTACTATATTAAACAACTTCTTTTTTTTTTTTTTGGTTGGAGTCTCACTCTCTTGCCCAGGTTGGAGTATAGTGGCATTCTCATGGCCCCAGCAGCCTTGATCTCCTGGGCTCAGGCGATCCTCAGCCTTCCAAGTAGCTGGAACTACAGGCATACACCACCATGCCCAGCAAATTTTTTGTTTTTGTTTTTTTTGTAGAGACAAGGTCTCACCAAGTTGCCCAGGCTGGTCTTGAACCTATGGACTCAGGCAATCCTCTCACATCGGTCTCTCAAAGTGCTGGGATTACAGGCTTGAGCCACTGCCCATGGCAAAATTTCTGTGACTTGCAAATTCCATCAGGAATGCTTTCACCAATTTTTATATTTTGCATTCATGTTTTTAATTTTTTTAATCAAGGAAAATATAGTTCATTTAGAAAGTAAATTAGAGAGAGAGAGAATAGAGATTCACCTCCCCAGGTAGGGGATGAGGCCAAAGCTCAATGAGCACATGGCCTGGCCAGTGCTAGCAAAAACAGCGGGCAATATTTTGCATTCTTCAAACCCGGCTCAACACTTAAGGTCTTCAGAAAGTTTTCCACGGGATACCCTTGGAAAGCTGCTATACTGCATGGCATTTCAGAACTGACTAGCTCTAAGTCACAGCAATCATCATTTGTTAATATGCCTGCTTGTTTAAACAGGTCCTTCAGCTATTCCTCGTGTTTTATTTCTAAAACTTGAGACTCGGTTTTTCAAAAGGGGACTGTGTACTTATTTTGTAATCCCCAGTTAGTGTTTTGTAGACAAAACATAGTATGTAGGCATTTATGTAATCCCAGCACTTTGGGATGCCAAGGCGAGTGGACTGCCTGAGCCCGCGGGTTTGAGACTAGCCCGGGCAACTTGGCGAGACCATGTCTCTACAATAAATAAAAAAAATTAGCTGGGTGTGGTAGCCTGCGCCAGTAGTTCTGGCTCCTTGGAAGGCTGAGGGGGAAGGCTCGCCGGAGCCCAGCAGGTCAACACTGGGATGGCCATGAGTGTGCCACTACACTCCAGCCTGTGCGACAAAGTGAGACTCCAATTCCACACACAAAAATATAAAAAAACCAAAATATGTAGACGTTCAATAAATACTTATTATTGATTTAAATGGAGGCCAGTTCTGCTATTACAGTAGTCTCCCCTTATCCATGGTTTCAGTTACCAGTGGTCTACTGTGTTCCGAAAATATTAAATGAAAAATTCCAGAAACAAACTATTCACAATTTTAAAATTATGTCATTCTAAGTAACAGTTGTTCTATATTACTATTATAGTTGTTATTACTATTAATAACTTAATGTTGTACCTTATCATTATTAATAAATTGCTGTGACTAATTTGTAGATTAAACTTTACGTGTAGAGTTTGGTACTAATTCCAGTTTCAGGCATCTATTGGAGGTCTTGGAATGTATCCCCCGCAGAAAAAAAGGAGATTACTATATAAATGCATACAATGTTATAGAAAATAATAAAATCTGGTCATTATTGAAAGTACTTAAAAATTATGGAAAAAATCAAATTCAGTTTAACTTTTTTTTTTGTGAGTTAGGGTCTTACTCTGTCACCCTGGCTGGAGTGCAGTGATGTGATCATGGCTCACTGCACCCGCTACCTACTGGGCTCAAGCAATTCTCCTGCCTCAGCCTCTTAAACAGCTAGAACTATTTTTGTTTTTGTAGAGACAGAGTCTTGCTATGTTGCCCAGGCTGATCTTGAACTCCTGGTCTCAAGTGATCCTCCCACTTCAGCCTTCCAAAGTGCTGGGATTACAGGTGTAAGACTCCATGTCCATCCCAAATTGTTTAATTATGAACTCAATCATGAAACAATGATGTTGCCTTTTGGAAGAGTTATTAACATGTTCCTCTGTTTTCCCACATGATTATAATTTGAGCTATAGGTCCAGAGATGGCTCTAATTTTCTGGTTTATGGAAAAGCTTAGTATTTTTTAAGTATCAATATGAAATTATCACAAAGATGAATATTTCACACATAAGGACTAAACAAGTTTTATCTTAAACATAGATAGATGGCAATTTGAGAAGTAGAAGTCAAAAGATTGTGAAACTAGATTTCCTCTGCTAATAATGCTAAAATAGGCTTGCAGAAAATGTCATCTGGCCACAGGCAAATTTGACTGAAACATGACCCACATCTCACATTTCTTCAGCTCACCACTAGGGGAGAAGGGTGGTTTGCCTTTACCTGTCATGCAGAAGCAGGAGGCAATGTTCCCTTGCAGGAGAGGCTCAAGCCACTGCTGCTTCTGCTCCTCACTTCCATACAGGTGCAATACCTCCATGTTCCCTGTGTCTACGCATAAGAAGAGGAATTTGTTTTGCACGTGAAAATCCACCAGTATGAAATTCACAACTTTATGTAGACAACACAGACGCGCATCTTTCTGAGCCAACAAAATGCCTTGAAACATATAGCAAATATAACTGACAAGAGTGGCGTGTCATAAACAGTTACAAGTACATGGCACGGAGTGCGTATCTATTCAACTTGTTTTAAATCAGACTCTTGCACAGTTCATGCAACTTGTTCTGAATCATAGACTCTGAATCTAAAACAAACAGATAAGTTTCATTAACTGTAACACAGGACTTACTTTCTCCCTCAAAAAGAATATTAAGCTGTGCTAATCTACCAGAAATTTTGTGCATGTTGATGTAACTTTGGCTCTGTTAGGTCTGTCTGGATGGAATACAGACATCTTGAGAGATTTAACTTAGACTTAATTGAATTTTCATAGGCATTTCAGTAATTATCCTTACAGTCATTGAAAAGGTGATACTGAAAACGTTTTCTCAAAATCTTCCGAGTAATTAATACTCAACGGAAAGGACTTAGACCACATTTCGAGAAACTTGATAGGAGTGAAAACCAGAGGAAGGCATTTTGATTCATGAAAAACACGAAGCATTCATTTTTAGCCGATATACTAGTGTGCCATGTCCTAAACAATACCCTCCAAGGGTTGGAGCAGCCTTTGAAGTTATCTACTGTCATTTTCTTTTCCTTTTTAAAAAATCCTCAAATCTCAAAGATATTCGATTTATTATACATGTAACCATTTTTATCAGCGTGCAGTCGCATAACGCCACCATGCCTCCCTAATTCAGTGTGAGAGCCGTGTGTGCTCACCCACTGCGATGGTCCAGCTGCTCTGTTTTCCACACTAGCAAGTAAAAGGAGCAAAACAAGCCACTGGCTCGAGTTTTTCCAAGGACTAAAGCCACTTTGTTCGGTCTTCAGATTTCTTAGCTCCTTCCTCGCTAATTCATCAGCTTCTTCTTTGCCTCCAAAACCTGAATGTCCGGGAACACGCACCCCCTGAACGCCCATGCCTCGCGTGGCTTCTCCAGCAAACCCAAGTCATCCTTGTAGACCCCCTCTTCCACCGCACTTGTCCTCCACCCGTTCTCCTTCCAACCTGGAACCCAGCTGGTCATGCCATTTATGGTGGATATGCTGTCCGTGTACAGAACCGGGGAACTGATGCTTTGAGCCCTTGCTTGTTTAGTGGCTTTGCAGGCCGCGTGGATTTCTGCTCTTGGCTTCGTCTGTCGCCCAGGAAGTCCGCCGCCTACATCGAGAGGCCGCCCGGCCCCAGCTCGTGCTCTCCTCCGCGCGATCCTGGAGCAGCAGCTGTCGGCGGACTCGACGGCGACGTCTCCCTGGGCAGCAGCAGCGTCTCTGCCGACGGAAGGGGCCGGCTCCGCGCTGTGCTGGACGCGCTTGGCTTGCGGCCCTGCGCGCCCGTCTGCGTCTTCATCCGAGGGCTCCCGGAGTCGCCTGCGCGCTTTCCTTCGTGGCGCTTCCACGTCTTCCTCTTCCTGCCCTCCAGAACCGTATGGGCCCGCAGGCCCCGCGAGGAAGGCCCAGGCCTCATCTTCCGTGGCACACTTCTTGAATCTGCGGCGGAAGCCTGCCTACCCGGGCTCCGCACTCATCGCGGGCCAGGAAGCTCTGGTCCCGCGGCCCTCGTCTCGGTCCGGAAGGTCCGGGGCCCGAGGCCGCCGGGTGGGTCAGGGCCAGCCGCCTGCGCGGCGCTCACTCCGGGAACCGGAAACGTTGGGCTCTCGCTGGGGCGGCCCGGACGGAGCCCCGGCCACACTTCCGGCGGCGGCGCGGCTGGAAGGGCACCGTGGTTTTCTGCCAAGGACTGACGTTCTGTCTTTGGCGTCTGTGAGAGATTGGCGCTTTTCCAAGTGGTGTGGGGCGCACGACAGCGAGAGCGGTGCGGAGGGTAAAAAGATAGTCCTTGTCTGAGTTCGGAGGAAGGAGGCATTTCTTTCTGTGTTTTTTTTGAGTTGGAGTCTCACTCCGTCGCCCAGACTGGAGTGCAGTGGCCGCTCCAGGCCACCACAGCCTCGACTGCTGGGCTCCGGCAGTCCTTCTGCCTTGGCCTTCCAAGTAGCCGGAACTACAAGCACACACACTACCACGCCCAGCTCATTTTTGTTTTATTGTAGAGACGAGGTCTCGCCAAGTTGCCCAGGCGGGTCTCGATTCCGCGGGCTCATGCAATCCACTCACCTTCGCCTCCCAAAGCGCTGGGATTACAGGCTGAGCCACCGAGCCCGGCCAAGAGGCATTCCTTACAGGTAGAGCAGAGCTTCTTTGCAGAGGCGGCAGCTCATAAACAGGAACTGAGTCAGGAAGGACAGGCAGAGTCTCCCTGGAGAGGAGGCCTGGCCCGAGCAAACCTGCGGAAGCAGCAACGCACGGGAAGGATTGGAGAGCAGCCAGTGGACTCCAGGACTGGGGACGGGAGGACGTGCGGGCTGACTGTTCTCGGGCGCCGCAGTCACTCCTAGCAGGGCCCCTTCGCCGAGCAGCAGGCGAGGGCTGGGCCAGAAGGTGTTTTCTTCCGGTGCTCGCGGAGGTAGACCACATCGGAGCCGTGCGGGAACACTCTCCCCCAGGTAACAACTTGGCTGACTCGGTCAGTCGCTACCGTTCAGTCTTCGTCAATGTCATTTGTGCAGTGCAGCCCATCCTGACCATTCTGTTTTAAATTGTAACCCGTATTCCCTGTCCTTCGCATTCTCGAGCGCCCTACCCTGCTCTGTTGCTTTGCCAAGGACTTTTAATATTCAAACATGCTACGTAATTTACTTATTTATTACACTTATGACCTATTTTTGTTTCCTTGAATTAGAATTAGATCCTCGAGGGCAGTCTTCTTTGCGTATTTTATTCACTTATATGTCATTTAAAGAACCTAGAAAAGTGCTTGGCATATACTCGGTAATCAATACATAATTGGTGAATGACTGGTTCATCCATTGGTCAATGAACAGTAAGTCTAACCAAAAGGCTAGAAACTCTACCCATTCTAACTAGTCATGGAAAATATCCAGTCCCCAAGCAGGAAACCAGGATCCTTATATTACCCATTCCTTTGGGGGCTACTTTCATTCACCAATACTCTTAATGTAATAATGTTAAACCAAAGGATAGTCCGATGAGGATTTCAAATCCATTTTTTATATTTAAATCAAAGTAACTGAAAAATAAAATTATACCCAAATTTATAAATCAACGACTTCGTGTAAAAAAACCTTTCTTATCATATGGAGAAATCTTAAACACGTTCAAAATATTAGAGAAAATTCTGTTTTCAATTAATGTAGCAACCTGGTGCTTGGCAGTTAAAGACATCTGGAGCAAAAAAGCATTTTCCTGTTTCTTCAGCAATCAAGGCATAGTCCACTTGGCTGAGACTGCTCACCGCTGGCAAAAACAAATTCCAGAGTCCCTCTGCTTTGGCCATCTCCTGTCAAGGTAATGAACATGCTCTAGTGATCATAATTTACCATTATCTAAAGTAACTTATTTTTTTTAATTGGTATTTATGCTTTTTGAAATCTAAAAACACTTATGGAGTTATTCATTTCACTATATCCTACAGTGTACAAAATCAAGTGGTTACTGATTTATTATATTACAACAGTTTCTTAACTGTTAAATACCTTTTCCTGCAAGCTTCCTTGGGTTTGGCTGAAAACTAAGTTTGCTACTTGAGTACTTTGTACTGAATCAGAACTATTACAAAATCTCCCATATTTGAGAATAATTATGCCAAATACACTATTTTATGTATTTTAATTTCTTGCATAAGTATTGCTGTTAAGATTTGAAAACATAACACTTGAATTCAGTCAATGTGGGACAAATGTCGTGCCTTGACTTCAGTGTCCCTTCAGTGATGGCTGCTAATGAGTTTTGATCATATTTTTGAACAGCTGTAAGTGGCTTTCTTCATCATATACCATATACAGAACACTATGTAGCCTAATTTGTATATTACAGAGTCTATTTTTTTAACTTTCTTCTTAAAAAGTTACTTTTGATATAATTATTCTCTATGTATATAGCAACAGCAACAATAAAACTAAGATCCAGGTCTCAAAAACACTTACCTATGAATTTCCAGTGTTAAAGATTTTCTTTTTCTTTTTTTTTTTTTTTTTTTGAGTTGGGCTCGCCCAGACTGGAGTGCAGTAGCTGGTCCCGGCCACCGCAGCCTCAACCTGCTGGGCTCCAGTGATCCTTCTGCCTCAGCCTTCCAAGTAGCTGGAACTACAGGTGCGTGCTACCATGCCCGGCTAATTTTTTTGATTTATTGTAGAGATGAGGTCTCGCCAAGTTGCCAAGGTGGGTCTCGAACCCGTGGGCTCAAGCAATTCACTCACCTCGGCCTCCCAAATCATGGGATTACAGGCTGAGCCACCAAGCCCGGCCAGGTTTTATTTTTCTTACCTTGAGTTTATCAATCACTAAAGGTTTTCTCCACTTGTCCATGGAATTTTCAGTTTGAGCATAGAACTCAATAACTTCCTTAAAGTAATAAAAAAATTATTAGTTAAATTAATACAAAGTAAACAATGTCAGAAACTGTCATAAACATTTTCAGCTGTTATTAAATCAGTAATATATCTTTTTGAAACCAGACATAGAGGCATAACACAATTCTAAAGGTTTGCTGATCACCATATTATACTGCCTCCATATTAGATAGTAGGGTTCCAAAATCTTACACAAGAGTTGAGTGTTCCATTTCTAGCAATATAGCACAGTAGATAGTCATAGAAACTCCTCAACTAAAAGTGCTGGATAATATACTTAAATAATTTTAAAATGTATTAATTAATGCATAGCTGCGCTGGAAGGAAAATAAAATTCCTCAGAGACCAAGAACAAAAATGTCTGACTCATAAGATATGAGCAAACACTGGAGCCAAGTTTGTCCAGGGGCTGCATGCCGATCTATACTGGCCTAAGTTTTGTTTGGGAGATAGAGTTAAATGTCCAAACATGGCAAAAGGGATAATAAGAGATCACTTCTTTCTTCCGCCGATGCCAGGATGCTTGATGGGTAAAACCTAAGTAAAAATAAATAGAACTCAATGACGACGACAACAAAAATCCACCCCTATATATATGTGGGTCTTAGTTCTGGGCAAAATTGAAAAAATAAACATTTATAACTGAGGTCTATCTTCACGCAACTTCGGGACTGAATTCACAGACCCATGGGGCTCTAAAACCTCGAGTCAGAATGTTCCTAGTGACAGTGCCTGCAAATACCTGGCAGAAGCAGAAACAAATCCTTTCTGGATGAAAGAGCTTTAAACAAAAGTTTTACGTAACTCTCACAGATAAAATTCCATTCCAAAGAACATGAGTTCAGAATGGAAAATTACTTATTATTCAAAACAAAAGAATAACAAAAAAAGTCACTATTATTAAGAATTAGCAAAAACAATAATTCAACAAAACAAAATCACAAAGACTACAGAGTAATAACCAGACACAGGATAAGAAATATTTATGTGTAATAGGTTTCATGAATAAAGGAAGAAATTAAAAATATAACAAGGGACTATCAAAAGTGACTAGGCAAATTTGAAAAAAAAAATTGAATAAAACTTAAGGAAAAGAAAACCATAGTAATGAAACTTAAAAAATTTATGGCAGTGATTCTTGAATTCTGGTGGCTATCAGAATCACTTGGGGGAACTCAGTAAAAATACAGAGGCCTAGGCTGTATCCTACTTGGGTTTCTGTATTCTTTACTAGCTCTGTAGGCTGTATCCTACTTGGGTTTCTGTATTCTTTACTAGCTCTGTAGGCAATTCTTACACCCTCCAAAATTTGTGAACTGCTGTCCTATGGATGGTTGAAAAATATATTAGATACAGTTTAAAAAATAGCACATTAGAAGAAATTACTCAGGATAGAATACAGAAATTCTAGAGATGGCAAATATGGGTGCTGAAAGGATATGATGAGTTCAGAGAGAATTCTAACGTAAGCCTGACTGGAGCCCTAAATAAAAAGAATGAGAAGAGGGGCAATATTTGTAAAACTTATTATATGTTCTTAAACCTGGTAAAGACAACAATTATCAAATTCACAAAGCATAATGAAGCCAGAGCACAGTAAAACTTCGGAACATCAATGAGAAGGAAACATTCTTAAAAGGAGAAAGAGCTTTGGCCTCCTCCCTTACCTTTGGGGGATGACTCACCTCTTTCTCTGTCTCTCTCTTTCTAATTTAGTTTTTAAATAAGCTATATTTACTAATCTAAAACAAAAAAAAAAAGAGAAAGAGGAGCGGAACAAAGAACGAACATAACCATTAAGATTGAGAACGAACTTTACATAGAAACAAATGAAGCAGAAATCATTGAAATAATAACTTCAATTGCTGAGAGAAAATAACTGGCAACGTAGAATACTATATGCAATAAAACTATCTTTCAGAATATTATATGGGCATTATTACTGTTATTAAATTACATACATAAAGTCATAACCCCCTCTCCAAAAAATGAAAAGAGAAAGTAATAAAGATAAACGTTTACTAATAAATTCTTATTAGAGGAACTTGATCCTAGAAGAAACATTTGAGTTGCAAGAAGGAATATTAAACAAGTAAAATGAGAAATATGGGTAAATCTAAATTGCGTTTTACAGTTTTCAGCCAGAGAAAACAATAACAATCTCTAATTTGTGCACCTGAAAAATCAAGAAAGAAAATATTGAATGACAGTGACATTCTCAAATATTTTGTTATTATAGCATCTCTATGCCTATTATTGCTTCTATACTCAGGATAGTAAATTACTGGGTTAAAGGCTACAGACACTGTCAAAAATCTTAATCTATATTATCAAATAATTTTCCAAAATTGTTTTACCAATTTATACTCATATAATAATGCACTTAAAATGTTCCTTTCATTGGAACATGGCTACTCTAGAGTACTGCTGGATTTAGTGAAAATCAAGAAGGTAATGAAAGGCACCATAAATAGCTCTCTTCATTTCTATCAGGAAGTCAGTTAAATTGGAAGATTTCCTTTTTGAAATTGTTTATTATTTTCATCCCTCATGCCATGAAAAAAGTCAATGCTACTGTGTTTGATAAGAAATACGTTATGCAATGCATTTATAATTTCCTCATCTCTGACTACCTCTTTATGATACTGCTGTTTGGAGGAATCATGTTATGCCAGTGTTCACATAATTATTTGAAAACATGAATTATTTAATACTTTAAGTTCTAAAGTTTATCCATTTATAGATATGCAAAGTTTATTGGTGGTATACTAGGACTCGTAATTAAATAAAATACCTTACTACAAAGACCCCTTCTTCAGTTCTTAAAGTAAGAAATCTAATATATTAGCAAAAGACAAAAGCAGAGAATGTATAGTATCTGATTGATTTTCTTAAAGATCACCTGTAGCATACTACTTCTTCATTCACTAAGATACTCATTTAGAGTGTGTTGGTTCAGAATCTTAAATCTGAGCCTGTACATAATTTTGCAATATTCATTTTTCGCTTTAAACTTAAGCCTCTTGTAAAGAAGCAACAGTTCCTCCCCAGTTCATTATTAGATTCAGTAAGGAGGTATGATTAGGTGATTAGTGTTATCAATTTGCTAAAAGTGTATTTTCAGTATGTTATATTGCCAGTTCCTGTTTTACATGCTCTTCCTTATCCATTTTAAGCAGGAAAAACTGGCTTTTAGTATTTTAATAGTTAAAGGGTTATGGTCTCATTTTGTGATATTTGAGGAGTTTCAAAAGGTCACTAGAGTAGTGTAAATGAAGCTTATTTTTTTCTAATTATAGAAAATTTGAAAAATCTGTAAAAGTATAAAGAAAAAGTCATTAAGAGTCTCAGTAGCTAAAGATATGTACTGTCAAAATGTTGATGTATTATTTGATACAATCTTATTTTCTAGACATGACCATTATAGTTTCTGTGAACTTAGTTACAATAATATTGGATAGAATTTTATATAGTAGGTTTTTCTCATTTCCATTTTGAAAAGGCTATATTCTTTTTGCCAAATATTCAAAAGACATATGCTCCACATAGATTAGTATTTTTCAGAATCATTCTACAGGATAGGACATGTTTACAGACATTGGTATGGTACAAGTTTTAAAAAGAAGGAAAAGTTTACATTATCAAATGTAGACATGTCCCAGATTTGAAAGATCTTCAAAGACAAATGATTGTAGCTTTCCTTGACACACAAAAAACTGACACTCTTCCCTTTAAAGTTTTTTTACTTATCATAAAGCACTTTATTTTACTGCAAATTCTTTGTAAAGATTTTAATAGCTGCATGGTAAGTTCAGCAGAGTATCACAACCCACCTCTGAAATTTCCCCTGTACTTGTAGTTTCCCTTGAATGCCTATCCACATTTATGAATGAAAAAACAAGCCAGCCTGGCTTCCTCTGCCAATTCTGGCCTCTCCTCTGAATGATGGGTTATAGTTGCAAGCACAAGCACACCAACAGTTAGGCTTCATTTTAGAGTGAGTAGGTAGCAGTCAGGCAGTAATTGGACAGGCTGGTAGACAAGCTAAGATTGCCACCCAATTCCCCAGTTAAAAAAAAAAAAAGCCAAAATATGGAGGGCACTAAGCCTGAGCGTATCTGAAATAGGTTATTTGCTTTTTTTAGAGTACTGTTGCAGCATTCTGTCTGAGGCAAACACCATTTTTATGCAGGTTGTAAGACCAACCCAACCAGCCTACTTGCAGTAATTCTGAAGTCAAACATCTTGATTCTTCTTCCCCTTCTCATTCTTGCTTTCCATATCAGTCAATCACAGGGACTCCATTGTGCAAAAGTGGTTACCACCTGTGCTACAGATAGATAGCTCTTATTTCAAAGTTCTTTTGAGATGTGGTTTCCTCTGTTATAGTTTATTCTTGGGTCTGATCCAAATCTAATTTCCATTCTCTTTTCAAAACCTTTAGTCCTCTGATGTGTTCTTCTCCTGTCTTCATGTACCAATTTATTTCATTTTATAAAAACTTCTTTATTGTTAATTCAATCATTTTTATTTGAGAGAAGAGAGGAAAATGTTTAATTCAGACTGCTATCCGAACCGAAAGCATTGCAGTCCCTTTGTAATACTCAAAAGTTCAGTGTTTTAAACCTCAGAATTAAACAAATACTAACTAGAGCAGAAATTATTCAAATAATTAGGTACCAGTGATACTTTTATAGAGGGTTCTATTTTATAAACAATTTCCTTAGTTTATGTAGTATTTTTTTTTTAGTTGGAGTCTCACTCTTTGTCACCCAGGCTGGGGTACAGTTGGCACACTCACAGCCACCAGAGCCTCGACCTGCTGGGCTCAGGTGATTAAGTAGTATTTTTAGAGAAACCATATTCCACTCTGTGAGCAGAGTTAATCCTAAGCCAGATATTTACTAAAAAACATGATAATTATTCATATAATTCAAGCAACTACATTACTGCTCTGTGAACACATATCAGCTCTGAACATTTCTTTTGAAAGAATTTTGGTCTTTTTCAGTTTCTTATTTGATTTTGTCAGTCTATCTGGAGACCTCTCAGAATCGCAAAAGATTTAAATGGGAATATATTATATACCCAGTCATACCTATTCATACCATAGATGAAAACCAATGCCACACAAGACCACCCAACGTGTGGCAGGGTCTGACTCGGATAATGCCACTAGCATTTCCACACCAGAGTTCGACTCATACACATACCTGGCCCCACTTCCCTCACATATTTTCATAATAGTTTTTGTCTTTTCTTCACAGCACGTATCGCCTCTCATTTAATGTCTTCCTTTCCTGCTAAAGTCTAAGCTCTACAGGAGCATAGGCCCTGTCTATCTTGTCCTTTCTTTTACATTCAGTGGCTCCAAGGTGCTTAACCTATCATTAGGTACCCAGTAGTTATTTGCTAACATTTGTTAACTGCATGAATAAATGTTCCATGTTGCCTCTCTACCCTCAATGAACTGACTGAAACTTAGTATCTTAAAATAATAGCTTATAGGAGAGAGGAATGGTAGTATCTATGAACAGCTTGAAGTAATATGTAGAAGTTTTGGGGGTTTGTCCATTTTGTATAGTCTATAGTTCTTGTTAAATTCTCAAAGATAATCCTGCACTTTGGGAGGCTGAGGTGAGTGGATTGTCTGAGCCCATGGGTTTGAGACCCGCCTGGGCAACTTGGCGAGACCTCATCTCTACAATAAATCAAAAAATTAGCTGGGCGTGGTAGTGCACACCTGTAGTTCCAGCTACTTGGAAGGCTGAGGCGGAAGGATCGCCAGAGCCCAGCAGGTCGAGGCTGGGGTGGCCGGGAGTGGC